TTGTTTTGTTATATTACTATACGGCGTATATAATTGTATGGCATATATTGGTGTATTGTGTTGCCCACTATATTAGGAGTACTAGATACTCTAATACGTGCAAGACATCAACAGTTGTGCCAGTTTCTATATAAAAATGGGTTTTCCATTCTTTCATGGGTTTCATTATACATGTACACGCTGTGCATGTACACACACGCACAAAGAAACACTATCTAGCCTGTCAGCCCTCCATTTTGAATGGAGGGCCCATATTTGAGCAATTACTTTTCAAAATCGGGCAACTGGTTGCCCTGACATATCTATGAGCGCACCATTATCTTGTTGGAGTTGGTAGTTCTCGAACAACTCTAAAAAATAGATCAAATATTGTAAAAAATTGTAGAAAAGAAAAAAAAAAAATTGTTCAGGTAAAAGTGGGTACATGGGTATAGGGTACGGCAGCTGGCCAAGGTTGAATAATTTGGCCGAGTTAACTGCACTCTATTTACCAAAAACAAGAAAAAAATATTTCTACTTTCTTAAGAGCTCATAAATGCCCATTTACTTCACCATGTTGGCCATCATTTGAAGGTTGAATCCTTTTTGCATACATACACTCATTTATATCCTTGTATCTAGGTAAAATATTTCCATACTTTTTTATTTTAGATTTTATTTCACAGACCCAAAATTTTAAAAGATAATCTGAAGCATAAAAATTGTAGATTTTACTTTTTTTAACCTCTTGAGCTAATTTAAACCCGTTTTTTTTATAAAAAGACATGTTTTTTTTAAAAGTCATCCTTCCAAACTTCTAGAGAGAGCGATGAACGTCATGGAGGTAAAAGGTTACCGAGAAAAGAGAGAGAGGTGTATGGAGAAACATGAGAGGAGATTTGCACAATCCCAAATGCGAGAAACCGGGGATTCCCATGTTCCAAGTTGCCTCGGTTGAGCTTTATGCAAATGGATTCTTTTCTTCTTATTTTTTGAACCAGATAAGGTACTATGAGCTTTTTGGCAGTCTGTCCATTTTCTGAAAGGTGCTGAAACAAACGACTTTAGATGACAAGGGCTTTTACTAAAATGGAAAGTTTGGTATTTTTTTTCATATGAATTTAGCAGTTAAGAAAGATTGGGCAAATGTGTGCCTCTTTAAAAACCCTAGCTGTGTCTTCCCTTTTCCTTCTTTAATAACTTGGAGCTCTCTCTCTCTCTCTCTCTTTCTCTCTCTCTCTCTAGAGTTTCTATCTCTAACCAGTCCCAATTACTTCGTTCCTCTCGCACCCCTTTCACTATCCTCTCGCAGCAAAGTGCCTTCAAACATATACAGACGTAACCTCTGCAATTTTGAAGTAAAGTTCAAAAGTTTTACATCCAAAACCACATCTCTCTAATTCACTTCTTAGTTTACAAAGACTCGTCCTCTAATCCTAGCTGGTGCCCAGATTGTAACAGGGCATAACCCTGATTTATCATTAAGTACATGTTGCTTTGCAAGAGCTTTTACATTCGTTTGAAGGAAACCTTCTACAGAAACTATTGAAACCCAGTAAAATATGAGAGAGGATTGCAAACCCTGATAGAGATTGAAGCCTCTGTAAACGACAGTTTTATCCAAAGGACAGGAAAGGGAGACGCAACCATCCGATTTGACATCCAATCGTTACGGCTGATTGTAACCTCCTTGTATACAAAAAAAAAAAAAAATCCGTAAGAGCGATGCCATTTAGAAGTATATCTTACATGGTTTAATAAAAAAAAATTGCATGTTTTATTATTCATAGTAGATTATGAATCCCATGACATAACGTATCTTCCTTCATTGGGGTAGTGAGCAAAGCATGGAAACATTGAAAACGGATTTAAAGTAAGACAATGATGTGTCATCACCTTCAAATAAGACGGGACTGTCTTAGTCTATGATTCTTTTCCCACTAGGGAAAATAGGCATGTGGTTTAATAAT